TTTAGATCTTTTACATCTAACTCTGCAACTGGCATCTCTATTTCTATGCCTTAAAATCATTGTGTGCCAGGAGAGGACATATACACTATCATGGAAACCTCTCCTATAGACACTCTGAGAAAAAAAGTACACTTTATCAGAGTTTGTCAGAGAAGTTTCGTGCCTGGGAATAGTTCCTTCAATTTATTAATGGTATGTTATTGTTCCTTTTTTGCTTATATATAGGACATCAACATGCAGTCGATTACATGATTAACCAGTAAGCCCAGGCTTATTGGTTAATCTATCGACTACACACATTCCTCCCCTCTTGGTCCCTTTGTATGAGAGGTAACAAGCAGGGTAGGTGGGAAGAGGTGGAAGCTGGTGCCCGCGGGAGTCAGCTTTTAAGCCAGCTCCCACAAACACCAGATCAGTGGAGCCGCTTGCCCCTCTCCCCTACTGCACTGCTACCTCTGATAGAGAGGTGGAGGTTAAGCAGGGCAGGTGGGAGCCAATACGCATGGGGAGACAGCTTTTAAGCCAGCTCTCCATGTGTGCCAGCTCTGCAGAGCCGACTCCCCACCCAGCACTGCCTCTCATAGGGGAGGCTGCCACAGATCAGCCTCTGTATGCAGTAGGCCCAGGCTTCTGTCCCCAGGGAGCTTGGGTCCCCCACAGACAGAGGCTGCTGCCTCTGTATCAGCAGGGCTGCAGACGATCTGTGTGGGGAGCCGGGTTTTAAACTGGCTCCCCTCACATACCAGCTCCTGCCTGCCACCCCACACTGCTGCCTCTGATACAGAGGCAGAAGCAGGGGTGGCAGCGTATAGGAGTGGGGCCAAGAGTGTCCTGGCTGCCAGCTCTGCCCCCGGGGCTATCAAATAATTGTGTAACCACTAAGTTTTGATGCCGTTGCATGATTATTCAATTACTCAATAACGAACATCCCTACTTATATACAATACTATTTAGATTTACTTGATTCTACCACTTCAGTTTCAAGTCCAATCCTACCTCTTCACTTCTGTCTGTAATATACCTCCTTAAAGTCTACTGAGATGTTCTCTCAATGTAAACCTGTCCCTAATTCTGGTTTGTCCGATTATCAAAAATAGGTCATAGGTAATTTTATTAAAAACATTAGCTACTTTACATACTTCTACCATTTAGTCTCAATTACATTTGCATCCACATACCACTGATTTTGCTTGTCTCTCCAAAAGAACCCCATCCATTTATTTTATCATTTTAGTTTCACTATGCTGCCTTTTCTCCAAAATAACCATTTGTAAGAAGTTTGTGTGTGATTTTTTGAGAATTACACTAGCATATGCTCAACAGTGCTCTGTACACCTCATGCTCTTTCTGAAATGCAGTGAAAAGCCAGTACATAGAGATAAGACATTCCATTCTCCCTTACAGAAGCACCACAATTATAGAAAACCAGGAAATGTTGGCATGAAATGATATTTCACACAGCACAACTATAACTCTGCTTCCTCTCCTCCCCCCAAAAAACACCAATGGGAACACCATACTGCATTGAGCCTTCCTAAGGAAAACTGCTATTTTTTGCTGTGTCCATCACTCCAAATCAAGATTGTTCTTCATCCACTCCAGTGGGATCTTCTGTATGGTTTGGGTAACATCACTGATCTGAGGAGTATTTGCTCACAACTGTAATGTTAAAATAGCATCTTTTCCACAGGGATAATAAAGGCATATCAATGACACCAAGGCGAATGAAAACAAAAGCACATTTATTTCACATGGTCAAACAATGTATTTTTCTCTTATCTCATTGTTGGAAATGGCAGAAGCATTTAGGCTGAATTTCATACATACACAGTCACATCCCTGATATGGGACATAAGCATCTGAAAACAGGGAAGTATCAGGCAACTTCAAGTTGTTGCTACCAGCTCCAGATACAGTAATTTACCCTCGTTAATAAAAGTCTTTTCATACATGCCAACATCTTAGTATTATTCTTTAGTACAGTAGACTATGTGATGACTTAAATAGCCTGTACCCTATCAGTCTATTTTCTAGGGCAGGGAAATTATGGCACACATTGTCCTAATACTGTATCTATCTGGATAGCCCCTTTACCTTATTTTATCCAAATCTTTCTGTAGCCTCAGTAGTGTCAGTCCATTTCTATTGTTTAGCTTTGTCTTTATTATTATTATATGGCATTAACAGCCAAGACTATGCCTTACTATGTAATTGTAGAGCATCTTGTATTTTTGTAGCACAAATAAGTAGTAAATAATATTCATTTGTTATTCCTGTAATTTATTTCTCCAAGAAAATTCAGATGAAATACAGCATATTGTTTGCTGTGAAATCCTTCTTTTAGCCCAGTGCCTGAGGCACATGCACCCAGATCCACAAAGCTATTTCCTAATGGAAGTTAGGAGCCTAAAGAGCTTTGTGGATCTGGGCCAAGATGCCTAAGTGATTTACCAAGGTCATACTGTGTGCTGTGGGAATCAGAACTGGGATCCTGCTAGAATGTAGAGGTATTCTAGCCATATTAAAAGGCCTCTCACTAATGTTTGTTAACAAAAGCAATATAATTAAAACAAGACCAAAGTGATTTTATAGAAGACCAGAACAAACAGAAAACACCATTTCAGAAGGTGTTATGTATGAAGGCACTAACTTATCACAGCATCTGGTGCTTATTAATCTCAGACAAAACAATCTCTTGATGAGTTGCAGAAAGAGCAAGAATCTAAAAGTGATTCTAGGATGGAAGGAGAAGTTATTGGTGCTGTCTCCGTCACTTACTATGGATGGAGAAGTACTAGAGCAGTAGATGTCAATTTAGGCAATTCTCCAAAGTCTAACCAGATACAAATATCCAACAGCTGTATTAGGGTATCAAAAGTTTTATGACAGCTGTTACCTATTCATTTGCTGTACATGCCTTTTGTTTTATTTAGGCCAACTCAAAATCCATAAGATAAAGCCCATAGCACACACAACCTTTATTTCCCTTTCTGCAGTTCTGCTTCACCCACCTCTTTACATTCTTATGTCCCTGACCTTCCTGTCCTCTTTTTCATACTGACAATGGTTCCAAATTTAGAAATTATATTCCAAGGAGAGTCAAATTAGGCTCTCTCACTGTCAGACACTAAGACTTCTATCAGGTGTTTGGATTTCAGATAATTTTAGTACATATGAATAAGGTATTTCAGTTGCGGTAGTTCATTTCTGACCGACTTTTTTTTTTTTTTAACTGAGAATTTCATCTGTTCAGTAAGTTAATTTCCACATTTTATCTTTAATTGATGATCTATTAACTATTTTTGTCTAAGATCTCAAAAGTCTACTAAGGAAGAGATGTTAAAAGTCAGTCATTTCCCAATGAGAAATTTTTGGTGGTACCTTAGTCAGTCTTGTTTAGAACGAAATAAAACATATGAAAAGAGAACACTTTCTTGGCTGCTTGACTGTCTGCTAGCTCATTTACGGAGGGGGGGCAGTGGGAACCTTGTTTGCTGATAGATAGGGTACACGTAACATATTAGAATCACAGTCCATTAAGTTTTCATTGCATGAAAACTTATTTCCTGCTATTGCATAAAGAGATTAGTAGCATATAGTTTAATCCCATTTGCAAATATTTTGCATAAATCTGTACTTTAGATCATTACTGATTATCTAGATTAGGTTATGCAGACTATATCAAGAAACTTTAGTAATATTTTTCACTTCACACCTAAATTCTAAAAAAAATAAGAAAAATATTTGTCACTAGTATCTTTTTACAGAGCTTCTTTTTAATAGGAAAAATGGTGAATACAATAGCAATGCTGGAAGGCATACAAATGTTTTAGATTATATAACATGTCTTTCTGAATGATACTGCAGCAATTACCATGTCAATGAAAAGGGAAACAAACTATAGCAACTGAGAAAACAAAACCTGTCTTCCAGAATTTCATTCACCAGCCATAGATAGCACTTTTGGGCCCAATTTTTTTAAATGGTATACTAATAGTGAAAAATCTTGATTAGACCACTTAACACAGACAATCTGCAGCATCTTTGTTACATGCAATCCATTTCAGTTTCTGTTAAAAGTCTGGCTCTCTGTGCTAAACGGAATTAACACAACGAAATCAGATATAAAACTAGAATGGACCACACACTTGAAAACATTGCAGAAAACCACAAGCTGGCAAGGAGTAAGACTGAAGTGACTCAGTAGATCTTGTACATCTCTTCACTTTCATTTATTTACATCAACTGTAAACAACTCATTTTCTTACTGACACAGCTGCCAGTGGCTTACCGTATAGATCACCCACTGTCATCTACTCTAATGGTACAAGTGTGCCCACACAAGTAGCAAAAAGGAATAAATCACTGTGAACAGTTTTTTAAGAACAACCCCAACAAAGCACCATACCCTAGTTTGTCTTCTCCCCCAGAACCCCTAATCCTGATTTGTTAACTTTCAGGGTAGCAAGAGAGACCCACCAAGGACCAAGATGATTTTGCAGTTGCCAAGATGCTGTCTATACAAGGCAGCGCAATGATCAAGGTGGTTCAGGAAAGTTAGAGAAGACGGGTGAGGGTAACATCTTTTATGGTTCAGGAAAAGTTAGAGAAGACGGGTGAGGGTAACATCTTTTATTGGATACACTTCGGCAGGTGGGAGACACAAGCTCTGACAGTCGGAGCTTCGTAGTTAAACCTCTTCACACTGTCCTTGAGTAAGCGCCTGATCTGGAACACCGCATGCTGCAAGGGAGGTCCGAGGCAGCAATTGCGGGGCGCGGGCATCTAACGCACTTCGCTGCCTTCCAAGCTCGCAGCTTTGACCTGGGCAGTTCCCTGACAAAAGGTGCCAGCCCTAGAGCCGGGGGCTATCAGTGCGGGGGGAGCAAATTCCCACCAACCCCCCCCCCCATTTCGGCCCCACGCCCCCTCTCCCAGCTGCGGAGCCCATTGGCGCTGGGGCCCACAGTGAAACCCGGGTCGGGAAGGGCTCTCCTCACCCCTCGGGCTGCGGCTGGGCGCCCTCGTCGTCCTCCTCCTCCATAGCGCTGCGGCACCTCCTGCTCCTGCTCTCCCCAGCCGGCTGCGCCACGACCCCCCAGCAGGAGCCGTTACGCGGCGGCGGCTGCCTTCTGCCGGGCCACCCAGCCACTGGAGGCAGCGCCAGGAGTTTCGGGAGGCAGCTCCACAGCGCCCTGCTCCTCCCCATGGTGGCGCCGGCACCTGCTCGGGAGCCATCCCCCGCCCCGAAGCTGGGGGAGCTCGCCGGACCCACTACTGCCGCCTCCTTAACTGGAGGGAGTTTGAAGGAGCCCCCCTACCACTCGCCGTTACCAAGATGGCTCCGCGGAGAACAGTTGACGCCGCGGCCATCTTGGTAAAGGCAAAGGCGCCCGGCCCCGACCGCCGCTGGTAGTGAGAGGGATGCGTCAGCGGCGCGGCGAAAAGCTGTGTGACGTGTCAGGGCGATTCTGACGTCACTTGGGTACTCAGCACCTGTCCCCATGAATCTGGAGCTCGTGTGCAGGGGCCCTGGTAGTCTGTGAGTGGGTGCCAAGGAAGTGACCTTGGGGAGGATGAAAGCCTGGGCTAGGACTGGGGGCTAGTCCAGCAGTGAATCAGTATGCTAGGCAAAGCTCATTGCTGGGCAGAGCCAAGCATGCAGGCCAGCCCTGGGAGCATGCTCCAAAGTCACTTCATGAGACAGCCTAAGGGATGGCAGCACCCAAGCCCTGTAAATATGACTCAAACATGAGCAGGGATGCTTATTACTAGTATATGCTAGCAGCTGCCTAGTTTATGGGGCTGTGTATTATCCAGCTACAGCTGTAGGTTCAGCTATTCTGTGTAACCTACATTTATAGAGGCCAATATCTGAGGGTCATAAATACAATTGACATCTATGTAGTTTGCAGTTTTAAATTTCCATGGGGAAACATCCTTAGCTGTAATAGCTGACAAAGGGGTGGAGGGTTGGTTATTCATCTTATTAACATGCAACTAGAAATCTGTGCCCAATGCAGCATGCACCATGCAATGTCAGACTGTATAATAGCAACATACTGGGTCAGACCAATGGTTCATTTAACACCATATCCTATTTTCTGGCAGTGGCTGGTGCCACATGCTACAAAGGAAATGAACATAATGAAGCAATTAATGGGGATCCATCCTCCGTCATCCAGCTCCACCAGGGTGAGCCATGGCCTCATCACTTTTAAAAGTGATCACTTTTTACTGGTCATAAGGGGGCAAGCAAGCAGTAAGTAAGTGTGAAAGAGGAGGCAGGGTCTTGCAGGGCAGAGGTGGAGCAGGGCTTGGGGAGAAAGGGTGTTGTAAGTGAAGGGCCTCAGGAATTGTGGTGCAAGAGCAGAGTATTTCGGAGATAGGGTAGCACAGGTGCGAGGCCTCGGTAGGATGGCATGGTGCTATGATTTGAATACTGGTGCTTTCCCCCTCCCCCTTCTTTTAGGGAGCTCTCACCTCTCCTGGTTCCAACTCCTAGTTAGGGACACCCAGTGCATGAGGTTGCATCCCTAAACATTTCAGCTAATAGCAATTGATGAATCCACCCTGCATTAACTTAATTTTTTTGTTAAACTAGTTTTCATTTTGGCTTTTACAACCTCTTTGGCAATGACTTTCAGGACTGTACATTGTGTGAAGAACTGCTTCCTTATGTTTGTTTGAAATGTTAATGTTTGAAATATTTGAAATATTAATTTCATTTTGTGATCCCTGGTTCTCGTATTATGTGAAGGGGTAAATAACACTTCCCTATATGCTTTATAGGGTTGCCAACTTTCTGCAGAAAACTGAACACCATTGCCATGCTTCCTACCCCTTTTAGACCCCACCCCTGCCCTGCCTCTTCTCCAAGACCTTGCCTCCAGCTCACTCCATTCCTCCTCCTGTCACTTGCTGGCCCCAACCTTTGTTTACTTGTTCCTTTTCACTAGATTGGGGTGGGAGAGGGAGTGAAGGTTCAAGCTGGGAGTATGAGCTCTGGTGTGGGGTCAGAGATGAAGGGTTTGGGGTGCAGGAGGGTGCCCCAAGGTGGGGCTGAGAGGTTTGTAGGGCAAGAGGGGATTTAGGACTGAGGAAGGTTGTTGGGGTATGGCAGGGAATGAGGGGTGCAGGCTTCAAATGGCACATATCTCAGGAGGCTCCCAGAAGTGGTGGCATGTACCTAGTGGAGGTACAGCCAGGATGCTACACCCTTCTGCCAGGGCTCTCATCCCCTCCCATACCCCAACTCCCTGAGACAGCCTGGTGAAAATGAATGAGTTGTGAGGGTAGGGAGAACAAGTGACAGAGGGAGCGGGTGTGGCAAGGGCAGGTCCTCTGAGGTGGGATGGGGAAAGGGTGTTTGGTTTTGTGTAAGTAGAAAATTGGCAACCCTTCCCCAAAATCTTTCTGGGGCATAATAATTAGCAAAAACCTCCCCCTCCAAATCTGCAACCAATGGTAGTGGCTGCACCGGGGGAGGCTGAGCCTTCTCAGGTTTATTACACCTGTTGCCTATCCCTCTGACATTACAACATACTATCTGAAAAGTCTTAGAATATTTTTTAAAAATAGTCATCCATATTCATCACCAAATACTGTTCTCTCCTCCACCCCAATCCATCACAAGATGAGACAATAAGCTCTTTAGGTCAGTGTCCTTGGGCCTGATTCTCCTGTTTCTCACACCAGTGTAAATCAAGGGTAATACTTTTGAAGTCAGTGGAATTATACCAGTATAAAACTAGGATAAGTATGAATAGAATGCGATTCTTTGTCTTGCTTGTAAAATCATGTAAAACCATGTAAAAATCAATAATACTCTCTGTCTCAGCAGTTATAGGCTGTCTGTCTTCTTGAAGCCAGTGTGTACTTCAAAGTCCCCCTTGCTTGAGGACCAGAGCTCTCTTTTAAAAAGGTCCTCTATATAAGGAGCATGCCCTGCAGCTGCTGAGGATGGTGCCTTCTTAGCCCAATATTGCTCCACTATTTCTTTTTAATCTTAATGTGGGGGCTGTAAATCCCATCACATCAGCTATTACCTACAGGATACGTGTAACTTTATCAGTAGACTACCAGTCTGCTATAGTTAAGGTTTACAATTAAAATTACTACTGTCTGTCAAGTCAAGGCATATAAAATGAGTTCAAAAATTTTAAAAAAAACCTCTTCTAGTTTGAATATATTGGGACAATAATTGTTTGAGGGTGACATTCGGTGACCATGTATTCTGTGGCCACAGAATTTTCCATGGAAACAACCTTTTGACACAGTATTGTGCAATAAAACTATTCTTTCATTTACAAAGAATATTTCTATCCTTTCTTGTTGTGAAGAAAACCTTAAAACAAGTATACAATGACTCTGGATTCAGTCTGAAATAAAAGTCTTGAGAGAAGTGAACTAACAAATTCACCCCATTCATTAAATTCAATTCATTTACATTTCAACTGTGAAATTTAAAGATGACAACTTAAATACCAACATTAGAGATTTTACTGCTGACAGTCTGAGCAGGAACATTCAGCTAATATTGTTATGCTACATTCCTAAACTCCTTCCTATGGCTTCTAAGGTTACAAAAGCCCCCTCCTGTCAACATTTCTAGCATCCCCTTTTGAAGTTATGCATTTTCTGTACCCTCCCCAAAAAATCAGTGCAAAATATAAATGCTACACTTTGGTGTAAACTAGATTTGTGGGAACATCATAAAATAAATATATTGTTATAGAAATTGTAACACAAGGGATACGCTGGTGGTTATTTGTTTATATTTAATTAATTTAAAAACTTGTTTTTAATGTACATTAAGCTGCTGCAGTTTACCATTTGCTGCACTAGAATGCTAATCCAGGCAGGGATAATGGAGAATTTAAGTCTGGCCTGCTGTGAAAAACTTGGCCTATATTTGTTTGTTTGTTTGTTTGTTTTGGGGCTGATGAGAACCTGGACATTTGGATTACTAATGGAATAAAACAGCTATTAAAATGATTAAATTACTGCATTACAGAATGGAGATTGATCACCTACAAAATCTTATGACTGAATACAAATCTGATTTATCAGAGATTCTGTGTAATATGATTTTCACAATAATACCAGTAAAGACTTAAGCTTGGTGGTGAACATCTGATCAAGAAACAGCGGCTACATCTACACTGTGCTGTTTTGCGCAAGAAATATGCAAATGAGGCAAAGCGTGGAATATTGCCATGCCTCATTTGCATAATTAATGAGTGGTCGATTTTTGCGCAAGAGGCTTTTGTGCAAAAAGGAGCTGTCTACACTGCTCCTTTTTGTGCAAAAGCCCCCTCTTGCGTAAGAGCTGTACTTCTGCATTTTTCAGGAAGAATGGTTCTTGCGCAAGAGGGGTTTTTTGTGCAAAAAGGAGCGGTGTAGATGGCTCCTTTTTGTGCAAAAGCCTCTTGCACAAAAACGAAGCCTCATTAATTATGCAAATGAGGCATGGCAATATTCCACGCTTTGCCTCATTTGCATATGTTTTTGCACAAGAGGCTATAGTGTAGACATAGCCAGAGGGTATAACAAAACAGCAAAATTCATCCCCTGGAGAAAGGACACATTAGACCCATTGCTAGGGCACTCAAAGGGCCTGGAAGCCTACTGGTTAGCACACCCAACATTTGGCCCCTATTTCTTTGCCCAGAGATCATAGAACCATACAGCTGGAAGAGACCTCAGAAGGTCATCAAGTCCAGCCCCCTGCTCTAGGCTGGACCAACCCCAACTAAATCAACCCGGCCAGGGATTTGTCAAGCTGAGACTTAAACACCTCTAGGGATGGAGACTCCACTACTTCCCTAGGCAACCCATTCCAGTACTTCACTACCCTCCTAGTGAAATATTTTTTCCTAATATCCAACCTGGACCTCTCCCACCACAAAGTTTTTCCTAATATCCAATCTGGACCTCTCCCACCACAACTTGAGACCATTGCTCCTTGTTCTGCCATCTGTCACTACTGAGAACAGCCTCTCTCCATCCTCTTTGGAACCTCCCTTCAGGAAGTTGAAGGCTGCTATCAAGTCCCCCCTCACTCTTCGCTTCTGCAGACTAAACAGACCCAAGTCCCTCAGCCTCTCCTCGTAGGTCATATGCTCCAGACCCCTAATCATTTTGGTTGCCCTCCGCTGGACCCTCTCCAATGCGTCCGCATCCTTTTTGTAGTGGGGGGCCCAGAACTGGACACAGTACTCCAGATGTGGCCTCACCAAAGCCGAATAAAGGGGAATAATGACATCTCTGGATCTGCTGGCAATGCTCCTCTTAATGCATCCTAATATGCCATTAGCCTTCTTGGCTACAAGGGCACACTGTTGACTCATATCTAGCTTCTCATCCACTGTAACCCCCAGGTCCTTTTCTGCAGAACTACTACTTAACTGGTTGGTCCCCAGCCTGTAACTATGCTTGGG